CAAAGTACTAGAAATGAAGCTAATGGATTTCTGTCGTTATCCAGATTTGCAGTCTGAGCATTTCAATAAAGAAAAACTTCAAGAGCCTTACTTGTCAGGACCCATTGATATTCTAGAAGTGGAAACCCTATGAGACTGAAGCCCACTCCATGGTACTCTGAGATTACCTGACCAGGGCTGGAAACTGGAATTGGCAAGCTACTATAATTTTCTTTCTAGAATCAAGCTCCTTGCAGATGTTAGGCCTTCTGAGAGGTTCAAAAAATTTTAATATGATTTCAGTTTTTATCATTATCTCAACTAATGACATGCATTTTCATGTTTCTGGAATTGTTATTTTATGGTGGTGCTTAGTTTAAACAAGAGAGAATTATATAAAATTTTCATTACCCTCAGTGTTCATTTCCCTTTTAACTCTCTTCTCTCCAACTTGAGGTTCCAGTCAACACCATCTAAAGTCACATTAACCTCTTTTCTTCATATCTCTGTATTTTTAATTCCTTTATCCCCTTTCATCCTCCTTATCAATGTGGTCTACAGCTCACAGTCCCTTCTGTCATTGAAAACTGTGGCACTCTTCCCAGAAAACAGACATACTTTCCACCAGGAAAACCTCCATGGTGATATATTCAGTGCCCAGAAGGTCTCTCATTTTTCCTTTATTTGTAATAGGTATTTTATTGTATTTTTTTCCATAGCTATGTGTGCCCCCTATACTATCTTCCACCTCCACCCATCCCTGGCCCTCCCCCACAGTCACCACTCTGTTATCCATGTTCATGAGTTCTTTCTCTTTCGCTCAACCTCACCACCATCCCAAATCCAGTCCCCTCAACAAGCTGTCATCCTGCTCTCCATTTATCAGTCTGTCTCTATTCTGTTGGTTCAGTTCATTAGATTCTACATATGAGTGAAATCATATGGTATTTGCCTCTCTCTGACTGGCTTATTTCAATTAGCATAATGTTCTCCAGGTCCCACCACGGTGTCACAAAAGTTAAATTTTCTCCTTTTCTTGTGCCTGAGTAGTATTCTATTGTGTAAATGTCCCATAGCTGCTTAAACTCTCTGAGGAGGAGACCTTGACTGTCTTATTTGCAGTTGTCTTGCAGTAATAAATGTCTCATAGATGAGTAGATCACTCATCTACTGATGGACATGGGCTGCTTCCAAATCTTGGCTGTTACAAATAACGCTGCAACGGTGAATATATCTTTCCAGATTCCTTGGATAAATTCCCGGAAGTGAAATTGCTGGGTCAAAAGGGGGTTTCCTTTTTAATTTTTTAAGAAGACTCCATACTGTTTTCCACAGTGGCTGCACCAAACTGTATTCCCACCAGCAGTGCACAAGGGTTTCCCCTTTCTCCACATCCTCACCAGCATTTGTTGTTTGCTGAGGTAATATCACATTGTGGTTTTAATTTGCATTTCTGATGATTAGTGATGCTGTGCTTCTTTTCATATGTCTGTTGGCCATCTGTTTGTCCTCTTTGGAGAAATATCTATTTAGGTCCTTTGCCTATTTTTTAATTGGATTGTTTGGCTTTATGGTGTTGAGTTTTACAAGTTCTTTACAAATTTTGGATATTAACCCCTTATCAGATGTATCAGCGAATATCTTCTCCAGTTCAGTGGGTTGTCTTTTCATTTTGTTGGTGGTTTCCTTTGCTGTGCAAAACTTTTTTGTTTGATGTAGCCCAATTTGTTTATTTTTCTTTTGTTTCATTTGTCTGAGGAGCTATATCAGAAAAAATTACTGCTATGAGCAATGTCCAAGATTTTACTATGTTTTTTTCTATGATTTTTATGGTTTGGAGTCTAACATTTAGGTTTTTAATCCATTTTGAATTTGTCCTTGTGTGTGGCATAAGAAGGTGGTCTAGTTTCATTTTTCTGCATGTATCTGTCCAATTTTCCCAGCACCACTTACTGAATAAACTATCTTTAGTCCATTGTATATGTTTGGCTTTTCTGTAGTATATTAACTATAAAGGTATAGGATTATTTCTGGGCTCTCTATTCTGTTCCATTGATCTGTGAGTCTGGTTTTATGCCAGGACCAGCCTGTTTTTGGTTACTATGGCCTTCATTTACCACTCTCTCTATTGTCTAAATTTCCTTTCTTTTCATTAGCCGGGCAAATCCCCAAACTTGAATGAGTTTATCTTCATGTTTTCTCTGTCTGCACCCATGCTATTGAGGTCTCCTGGAGAAGTAACACAACTCTGTCACAAGCGCTAGTCTGCCTCCATGTCACCAAGCATGTCTTCTTCAAAGCTGCACAGCAACCCTCACCATGTTCCTCCACCTCTACTTATTCTTATAAAGCATCATTCATCCATTCATTCCATTCTTGTATTCATTCACTCACTCATTCCCTAAACATTTATTGGATGTGCACACCAGCAACATGCTGGGTCCCAGGAGATAACTGAGAACAAGACAGTCAAGGTCTCAGTCCTCAGAGAGCTAAAGATCTAGACTAGATACTGAAATTAAAACAACTCCAGAGAAGGGAATTACTTGGAGATGAATTTTTTAGAAGAATGGATGTGGTCAGTCGGAGTCAAACTTCCCTGAAAAACACAAGTAAGTTTATGGGCAGTTTTGAGGAACCAGCAGCAAGTGGAATAGCACACGTGGCTGGATCTTGGTGTTTCTCCAGGAGACCTTGGAAGCTTGGGTGCAGACAGCGAAAACATGCATGCAGATTCATTCAAGGTTGGGGTCTTACCATCCTCATGAGGGGCAAGGGAGTTGAGATACTAGAGAGAAACACTGTGAACAAGATAGCATTTCGGATTTCAAAGAATTAATGGTTTCGTAGTACCTTTTGATAACTTCCTTTTCTAAACCAATACTAAATCTGCAACTATATGATTGTCCAGAAAATTCTTCAACAACTAAAGGGGATTCTCACTATAAAAAGTTTTAATCTCCTTATATATTGTTCTAAGAGATATATAAAATACTGATTTTTGCTAATTACTAAGTTTCTCTTCTCATTTTGTACAAAAGTACAATGAAAATATTCTCACTTTTTAAAAAACTCACACATTATAGAAGTTCTCAAAACAAGAATGAACTCTCCCAATGTTACTTGCCCTTTCCCATTTCCTGTCCCCACACTCAAGCCCCATTACGAGTCTCATGTGTGTTCATACAGTTCTCCTTTCTGTGGGTTCACAACAAAAAGTGGTTTGTGGACATATACATACACACCTAAGTTGTGGAAATTGCTAGTTAAACATATTTCTGAAAGAGAGAAATATAAACATTAGAAAGGAGTGTCTTCTCTTAAATAGGAATAAACTTTATTTCTCATGAAGCAAATCATTTGGACCTGAACTTAAGCTACTTTCTATAAACTGATAAGAAAGCTAAATGATAGAAAATATCAATGGTCCCAGGAATGAAACAAACAACTTAGTTGCTGACTCATCAGGTTGAGGTGATAATCTTAAGTAAAACTAAATTTTGATATATGCTTTGTCACACCTAATGTCTGAATAAGGAAACAGAGAGGATCTGTAAAGATAGATAAGGACTCTGATGTTTTCACTACAAACAGAGCATTTCCACGTTCGAAGTGTAAACTATCTTTAGTTATTATATCAGGATTTGTAAAATGTGTTATAAATAATATAAAAAGTCATAACACATGGCAATATCTGATTGATAGATAATAAATCATGCCTCTTCTTAGTCACCTCAGAACTAATGGAACCCCAGAGAATGGACTCCCTGGGTTTTATATATTTTTATCTTTCTTCCTCACCTTGAAATAGTCATATATTTCCCAGTGCACGTTTTGGAATTTGACCTAACTTTTACAGCTGCTATTTGCTTGAGTGAGTCAAATAAAAGTTTCTGATAGTTCCTAAGAGAAAGTCAGTTTCTTCCACAATGTGCATATATGCTCGTATAATTTTGGATAGAACTATGCAATATATATTCCACAACTTGCTTTTTTAATTTAACAGTATGCTAAAATGCTTTTATGCAGCACATGATGATTTACCTCATTCTTTTTAACTCCTCATTCTCTTCCATAATAAGGAAATGCCATAATTTATTTAGCTACTTTCTTTCCATTAAACTTTATTTTATTGTTACTATAAACAATTGTGCAGTGGGATGTTTATTCACCTAGTTTTGTTTACATAACTAAGTGTTTCTGTAGGATACACACCTGGAACTGGAATTTTTAGGTAAAAAAGACTTTATACTTTTTGTTTTTGTATATATTGAAATAAAACTTTTATATGTCAAAATGAACAAAAAGCTAATTAACACAACAGCAAATCTAAATCACCAACAAACACATATAAAGACACTCAAACTGATTAATAGCCAGGAAAATAAAACTTAAACAATGGGTTAATACTTTATACTTAATAAACTGGCAAACATTTAGAAGATCAATAAAACCTATTATTGGTGAAAATATGGGAGAAAGTTGCTTTAGCTTTTTTTTTTTAAACAATCTAGCAACATCTTTTTTTAAAAACATGTAGACTTTGGCCAACAAACTCTTTTCTAGAATCCAATTCCATTAAAATAAAAGGCCAAAAGTTCAAAATATATAAACAAAGATGTTTTGGGCAGCATTCATTTCTTTCTGCAAATATTGGTCAAGTGCTAACTATGCTGCCATTACTTTAGGAAAAAAACAAGACATAGGCTCTGCCCTCAATAGACCAACAGCCCATGTGGAAGACAGACACATGCACAAGAAATTGGAGCTCATGAGAAGGGTGCTAGGGAAGCAACCCAGGCCTGGGATGGAGGGCTGCAAAAACCTCACAGAAAAGTAAACTGCATGACACTGTAAGATACAACCTGTTTTTAAGGCTTTGGATGAAGTTCTCTGGTCCAGCACAGCTGAACAAAGTAAGGTGACTGGACATAAGGAAAACATAACTCATAAACTTTCCATGAAATAAAATTATTTTAATAAAAGTTACAGGTAATCCAGTTGTTCTAATGGCAGTGGAAACAGAATATGAGATGTACAATGTAAAAATGACTTATTTTGAAAGTAGAATGAAAAGACTGTATTATTAGATGGTAGCCAAAAATGCTGTTTTGTTCATATGCCTGGCACACAGTATACTTGTGAAAGGTATTTGTTCAACCAATCAAGCAAGACACAAAGAAGAGCCCATAAAGTGGTTTCGCCCAGATAAACTTTGATTTAGTCAGTAATCTCACCGACTCAAGACTTCCTTTGAATAGATTTTTCCTCCCTTCCTCTCTCCCTCCCTTTGTTTTTTCCTTTTTTCCTTCCTTCCATTCTTTTTCCCCACCATTTTTTAGGAGAAGGAAAGACTTCCGTCACATTGGAATTCTAAATCCTGTTAAACTTACCTTGACCCTGTTATTTCACTCACCATTTAACAATGAAGCAAAATCATCAACTTTTAAACCATGAACTTTAAATGCTGAAATAGTGCTGAGCAATTTTAAGAATATAAGTGCTTTCTAGGAAAAGAATGCTCACCATGAAAAACAAACAAACAAAACAGATAGTTTATTAGAAACTGGTAATCTATGACAACCAAGGGGATGTGAGTAACTGGGTCTCAGGATGGGATTGCCAGATCGAAGAGAAACAAGAGCAGCTCATCTAGACACAAGGTACACTCCTTATTGTCATTAAAGCAAAAGGCATTAGCATGAGTTCTCTATGGAAAGGCGGGGGCTTCCATGGAATAACGAAAATGTTCCCAGAGTCTAAGTGCTGTCTGGCGTTGCTCCCATATCAACAGCAAAACAACTGCATAGCAACCTCCATTTGCCATTTCCTCACCCATTACTGTTTGTTAAGAGAAAACACCCCCACAGCTCCCTGTCTGCTTTGTAAATTTTGTCAAACAGGGGTGGAGTCTACGTGCCAAGTTGAGGAGCCACACATGCTGGCATGTCCCAGCACATGCTGTTCACCACGTGGGCTCCTGGAGCGCTGCCTCTTGGCTTCAGAGGAGCTAGCTGCTCTCCCCTCCCCCATTTCCTCTCACAAAGAACAGCAATAACAATTAGCAAGTGCGTGTGGGAGCTCCCAACTGGCCAAGTACTCTTTAGATCCAGTGACCTGTTTTACGAATATTAGGAAAGAGTTTCCAGCTTGTGTTTGCATTCTCAGGAGTACATAGAGTTCACAGTAAGAAGAGAATAACAGTCACTCCTAAAACAAAGGAAACCCACTCTGAACGCTGCTCGAGGACCATTTGCCATCTGTTCATTTCCTTGTGGCAGCGCTGCTTATCGGGACTTCTCCAGCGATGGCACCAACGCACAAATCCAGACCAGAGTACTTTTCCTCTTTCCAGAGGGTGTTTTCCTTGAACTTTCCCATCTGCCTCTGAGGAAGATGTAGAAGATATTATTTATAAAATAAAACTAGAAAATGACTCACAGTGAATAAGAATAAATGAGGGTGCAGTGTGTCATCTTTAAGAGAAAAAAAATCCTCCACAATTGGAGAAACAACTCACTTTTTCAAAGCTCCTCAAAGAACGTCTTCAAATGATAGGCAGGAAATGGGTTTGTGGGAGCTAAGGTAAGTGCAAGAAAACTCCAGGGGCAAGAGCAAGATCCAGCCTGGTCATGCATATTCATAAGAGGCAACCTGAGCTCCTGTGTAAAACCACAATGCGACTGTTCTTGCACACAGCTGGGAAATGCTCTAGCAATGGGGAGCCTGGGTGCCTTGCTTTATAACATGGTTCAGAAGAATGAGGATCATTCACTGCCGCCTTAACTCACACATTGACTGGGTTTTCTCCATAGGGCTTATGACAGCTCAAGAGTATCCATCTGTCAGGGTGCATTTTAGAGCCATCATCGTGCAAGTGTGAATTTCAAGGCTTTGGCTAATAAGAAGCAAAAAGGAATATGGTTATTTTATATTTTCAATAGAGCTTTGGGCATTCATTATTAATACTCTAATAGAGAAATAGGTCAGTATGGCATACACAGGAAGATAATTATATTCTATACATTGTTTCTCTGCTCAACAGAAACTTTCTATAACAAAATACCCAGAGGTAGTTTCACCCGTGGGGAAAACACAAACAAAGAGCTTTAACTGTTCCAATAGGAGTTACGGATGCATGCATTAGATTTTTCGTTTATTCATTCAATAAATAGTTGTTGACATCCACTATATGCGGAGTACTGTTTAAGCTCTTGGAACACTGCAAAACAGTTACAAGTCCCTCCACCATGAAGCCCATGACAACCTATTGCCATGTTCTTCTAGGAAGAAAAAACACCTTATTTTGTACCTACCTGTCACAGAGGGCCCTGGACCTCTTTGTTCAGTTTCTTTCAAATGCCCTTGATGACCTTGTGAATGAAGAGGTTGCCATGTGTGCCCATGTGGGCTGTGTGTGAAAGAGACAGAATAAAGAAAGGCACAGGGAAAGAAAGCAATATTGAAACAGAGACTGAACTGAGAGGGAGATTATTTTTAACGTGATAAAAAGGTTTATCTGTATAATCTAGTAAAGACACAAAGGACACTAGTACTGAGAAACACAGACACGAGAGAATGCTGGTGTAGATGGAGAAAACCTACTGTAATTCTGCGTTAGGAAGACACAATATTTTCAAGATGTCAACTCTCCCTAATTTAATCTGTAAATTTGACACTAAAAAAGATCCAAAAACTTTCATAATGGTGTTCTGAACTGGATAAACCAATTATAAAGCTAGAAGAAAACTCTGGGAGAAGAATGCAGTGGAGGAGGGACTAGCCCTATCCGATACTGAAATACAAAGCTTTGACAACTAAACTACAAGTAAACAGACAAAAAGTGGAACTGAATGAGTTCCAAATGCACATGGAAATGTAATCTCTGAACAACCTGGCACATTCCCCATAAGTCTGTTTGCCTCTTCACCATTGTCAACCATGCTAATGTCTCCCTTTGCATCTTTCTCATTATGAGGCTTAGTGCTAACCAGAGGCCCTTGGCTTAGAACAGCTCAGGATTAGGAAAGAGTGCAGGTTTTACATGGTAAGAAAGGATAAAATTTGCGAAGAGCCAATCCTCCTCTCCTGCCGCTTGTAGCTTGGTGACCTTGAATGTGTAGCTTAACTGCCCTGAGCTTCAGTTTCATTGCCTATAATATGAGAACAACAAAACCAAGCTCAAAGAATTATTGTGAGGGGAAACTAACAATATACATGAACCTACTTAACAAATTCTGGTACTTAAAAAATGAACATATCGTAGTTGTATAGCAGAGTCTCTTAACTCCAGGTTGATTGCCTAACAATTTGTCTATCTGTAGACAGAAATTGCTTTCTAAAAAAAAATTATTCTTTACCTCACAACATTCAATAAGATTTAGCACAAAGAAAGAATGATCTTTAAACTCAGCTTTTAGAATCAATGATTTCCTTATGGAGAAAAACCTTTAAAAAAATTCATTTATTATATTTTCCCCATTGCTATTTAGCCCCTTATAACCCCCTCCTCTCCTCACTCACCACACTGTTGTCCGTGTCCATGAGTCCTTTTGCTTTTTTGCTCAGTCTCTCCACCCCCTCACCCACTGCATAGCTGTCATCCTGCTCTCTGTGAGTCTGTCTCTATTTTGCTTGTTAGTTCAGGTTGTTCATTAGATTCTGCATATGAGTGAAATCATATAGTATTTGTCTTTGTCTGACTGGCTTATTTTACTTAGCATAATGTTCCCAGATCCATCCATGCTGTATCAAAGGGTAAAGTTTTCTTCTTTTTTACTGCCAAATAGTATTCCATTGTGTAAATGTCCCATAGTTTTTTTTATCTGTTCATCTGTTGATGGACACTTGGGCTGCTTCCATATCTTGGCAATTGTAAATAACGCTGCAATGAACACAGGGGTGCTTGTTCTTTTGAATTAGTGTTTTGGATTCCTTTGGATATATTCCCAGAAGTGGGATCGCTGGGTCAAAAGGCAGATCCGTTTTTAATTTTTTGAGGTATCTCCATACTAGAGAAAACTTTTTTACAAAGGAGATCAAGCTGTTCAGTCAATGAAATCCAGCAAGAGAGGTTTCACTACATAGCACAAGGAAGGATTTTCTGACTTCATAGATTTTTGTATTTTTTTAAATGTGAAATTTTTAAAGATGGCCCTGACTGAGCTGGGACTAATGGAAACCTCTGTTGTGTGTGGGGACTGCCCAAGGCCTGGGCGTAGCATGAAAAAATCGAGACTGACTTCTTCACAAAAGAAGCTTGTGCAATTTATGGAGAGGGTAGACATACAAAAACAATTACATGTAAATTTTTAATTTTGACTGTTAGTTGTATTGTATAATTCAGTGCCTAAGGGATAAGGATGTTGAAGAGTTGTGGTGATGAAAACATGGAAACCTCATATACTCTGGGAAAACCTCATGACAAAGGACAATCTTGAACAGTGTTGGGAAGGGATGGAGCGATATCACTTGGTGGAAGGTGCCAGGCTGAATGGTCTGTGGATGCGTTGGAGGTGTAAGGTGGTCAAAGGAAGGGACAGTAAAGGTTTGCTGCCGCAGCAAGAACATACAGGACAAAGAGTTGGGGAGTAAGCTGGTAGGATACTTGCTGAATAGCCCTGATTTAATTTTTCGGGCCAGTGATGAAAGGAATGCTTGCTGCTGGGCAGGGTGGTTCTCATAAGGAAGGAACTCAAGGCGGGAGAAGAAAAAGCTGTTCCTATTGTCTATTTATGATGCTTAGGCCCAATGCAGCTGGTACCCATGAGAATGAAGGCAGTGTGAGGCTTTGAGAAGCCCCATAGAGCACGGAATCATAGAACTGATGTTTTTCTGGACTAAACAGAAGGAAAAGGTTTGACAAGGTTAGGAACCTAGGAGGCTGGCAGGAGAATGAAGCCATTGACAACAGCAGGAACCTTCAGGTCTGGTAAGGGTTTGTAAGGAAGACAGGCCAGAAAATAAGTCTGATTTTGGCTACATTTAGTTGTAGGTGGCAAACAACCAACATATGACCCCAACTCTACCAGGAACAGAATCAAAACTTTCAATAGAATAAATTCAAAATTCTTAGCAAAAGAATATTTTACTATTGTTATCATTATCTAGCTATTTTTCCCCCATTTAAAGCATGCATACAAATTTTTGAAGGTCATGCTTATCACTGACCTATGTCTTATTTAAGGAAAAAATGTACCTGTGATAAACACCAATATAAGAATCTTTCCTCCCACCCCCTCCTCATTAGAGCACGTAGCAGAGGAGCACATTTTTGGCAGTCTTGCTGAGATGGGAAATAGTTCCTGCAAGATCATTACCTTCACCATCTGTCTTGCTCCAAAGTTCACCAGCTGCTAAATTAATGCATTTCCCTTAAATCATCATTTTGGCCCTTTTTCGGACACCAGTCATTGAATAGCGAGACATTACTAGGTCACTGGGCAGACTCCCTGATACACATCAGTGTCGGGGCCAAAGTTGATTGTGATGGAAACACAGGATGTACCTAATCACGGTATATGTCACAATCTTAGAAAATGAAATTGTTATTTTATTATTCACACCTTGTTCTTCACAACTGGATTATTTTCCCAATATACCAGGTTTGATTCTGAATAACCGTCAGGTGTTTTTTCCCCCTCAAGGTAAATCATCAATGGACTTTCAAAGAATTTAGAGAATGTATTCTCAAAAGAATGTATTACATTTTCAAACATTTTTAGCAGCAAAAGTTTTATTTTCCTTATGAGAACCCCAACATTGTAAGTAGTCAATAGTCATGAAGGTCTTTTGCATCTCAGTCATATGAGGCATTGATAAAAAATATGCCATTCTCTGTGAACCTCTGAAGTATCTGTGGAAATGGAGGCAAGTCCAATAGAGAACCCAGCGTCTTTTTAGCACTAGCCAAAGAGCATAGCTGCCCAATGAGATGGCATATGAGCCTACATTAGATATGATATGGTTTTAAAAACAGTAGCCATACCTTATGGCACATAAAAGCACAGGCTTAGAATCAGATGGACCTGGGTCTCAACCCTGCTTTATTATGAGTAGGCTACTTAGCTGCTCCAAGGCTCAAGTTAAACATCTGTGAAGGTGATAAAATGATACTCGTTTAAATATTATGAGGAGAAAATGAGATAATGCATGTAAAGAGCTAACACGGTGCTTAACATATAGTGAGTGCTCAAAAACGGCAGGTAATAGTAATAATATTAACAGTAGTAACAACAATAAGAATAATAATTGCCTTATTTCATTATCCCCACAGTGGTCAGAAGGTACTATGAAGCTGGTAATAACTTTATACCTGGCTAGTCGGACCTGAAATGAAATTTCTAACTCTCCTACAGAAATAGCATCAGCAAGCCAGGAAATAAGAAATCAAAATTCCACATAGATATAAACCTTGAGCAGAGTACCTATGATTTTAGTTAGAAAAACTTGGCAGCCAAACTAAGCTATCTTCGTTCTGTCAGGATCCTGGAACCTTCTTCTATATAATAGACATTGTCTTATTTTAAGAATCTCCAGGGAAACAGATTCCATAACTTCCCTTAATAACCTACTTTAACATTTAGTAACTGTCTCTCTTAGTAAATCTTCAGAGCTAATCTAAATCTTCCGTGCTCTAGTTTTTCAGGCCAGTCATCTCACAGGTAATTCTGATGTTATTGATACTTAAATTGGTATTAAATCAAATGAGAACTAGAAATACATACACATGCGTTAACATGAGCTTTCAGAATCAGCACGTGCTCTTGATAAGCAGCCATGATTTGTTCACAAGCAAGAGAGCGGCATTGTCAATGTCAGCAGAAACACACTGGAGTGTTTGCTTACCTGCGCAGCCTGAGTCCGTCCTTCACCGTTCTCACGCTGTGACTTGTGCGACGTGAGTCAGAAATGAGCAGCGTTTGTAAAACCAGCAACATGAATGGAGCTGTCCTCTGAGCGGTTTCTGCTGTTTATTGTTCCCCAGGCCACGCTGAATCCCGGGCACTGCCTCATTCTCTTCAGAAGGTATCTCTTCCCGCCCACCTTCTGGGAGGTCTCAGCCTTTGCTCAGTGTCCAAGATGAATGAAATAGTAACAGAAATAACAAATCCCCTGAAGCCACCACCAAGGCACAGGTGACTTTCCCTTCTTTATCATAATGTGTCAGAGAAGCACCAGTCCCAGGACCACTGCTTTGTTTGGATAAGTAAAGCAGTGCTAAAAAAAAAAAAGGGACAAAGGTTGGACAGTAGCATGTGCCCAGACATCTCCCAGCAGAGCCAGGTTAGCTGCCAAAGTCCATGCAGACTTTATATTTAAACTCGGTCAGAGTTCCTGAAGAGTGTTTTTTGAAATGTGGCCCCTTGGGTACTGCCCCACCCTCCCAAAAGAGAAGTGATAAAAATGTTGAGAAAGACAGAATACAGAGCTGGACTGACCATGAACTGAGGAGGCATAAGCTTTATCTGTATAGGTATCCTCAAAGCTCTATGCCAAACATATTCATGGTTTTGTGTTGCTTGGACCACAATTCCCTGGACCACTCTGAGACCCACTTCCCTCTTCTGTATAATAAGATTAATCGTGCCTTGCCCACACCTAGTGCTCCTTCTCTTAAAAGGACCACCCAAAAGAGCCAGGCCCCACCCCTACCTTCATACTACACTCTTCTTTGAGAGATTCATAATGCCTATTTGTTTATTCAACTCACTAGTCCTGAAGAAAAGGCTTCTGCTTAATTTTACTTAATCTAATGTTTTCTCCTAAGTAAGAGCAAATGACACCCTCTTAACCAGTAAGCTAAGTCATGTGGGAGGGACAGGTGAGAGAGTTCCCAAAGTCTCCTGTCACCCAGGCCCCTCCTCCTAGTCCCCACCTCTCTAGATATCATCTTCTTAAAGATCTTTCACCAGCCAGGTGAGCGGGACTCCAGAGTCCCTATTTTGGTGCCCAGATATCCATTGAGAGTGACTGTCCTGTCCAGAACTTACAGGGCCATTGCCACTCTCAGAACCTTCTGGGTATTGCCTGAGCTCCCAGGCAAGGACTGGGTACTTGAAGACATGAAGAGAAAAGAAAAAGAAAACTCGGAAGATCAATGGTGACTCGCAAACTAACATTGTATCTATACCAGGGGGACATAAAATGAATGTGAATATAATACTTCACCAGATGTTTGTAAATTTATGCATAGGAGTGAATTAACAATAATATTTTTCTTTTTAAGCATTCAGTTTTTAGGACAAGAGAGGAGACCCTAAGCTCCATTTTGATGTTGGGAAGAGAAGGCCGCCTTCTGCTACCCACCAGGCCTATTCTGGAACCTGATGGGAAAAAGAAAGACCTGTTCTTCGGCTTCCCACCCTCCCTCAAAAAGTGACCTACCACTCCACGCCTCAAGATCCCATTGTCCAAAGCTCAGAGTGAGGACTAGGTAGGAGGTGGGGGCATAAAAGGCTGGTACAATTTCCCTATGGGAAAGGTTTGGGTCAGCCTCCTTGAAAAGTTTGCTTTAAAAAAAAAAAAAAAGTATTGATTTGAAAGAGAGAGAGAGAAACATCAACTTGTTGTTCCACTTATTCATGCACTCACTGGCTGATTCTTGTATGTGCCCTGACCAGGGATCAAACCTGCAGTCTTGGCATATGGGGATGATGCTCTAACCAACTGAGATACCCAGCCAGAGCCTGACTAAATATTTTGAGGAAAATAGTTATTTTTCACTAAACAAATGTTATTTGTGTTAACATTTTTTTCTGTCATTTTTAACAAAGTAGTCATTTCTTTTTAGACTTCTCAGTTTTAGTTTGCTTGTTGTGTTGGAAAGAGCCCTATGTGGTGGTCAGAGGGCGCCAGGAGTCACAGCCCCGCCACTTACTGATCCTGCACAGTTTCTTGGACCCCTGTGAGGCCCAGTTGTATCCTTTATGTAGCAGGAATGAATGGTACCTGGTCTGCATTTAATGGAACTCAATGCTGTGGCGGCTGCATTTGTGATGAGCTGATAGCCTAGGTCAAGGACACCGGGTCCTCAGCAAGCATTAAACAGAAACCACCCATGGGGCTGTGTGGCCGACCACAGCAGTGTTGTCATTCCACCTCCCCTTGCCTCTCTCAGACCAGGTACCCTGTCATTTTCATCTCCTCCCGCTCAGATTTCAACCTACAGGGGCGGCTGGAGGTCACAACGCTTAGACATCAGCAAGCCCAGACGTCCAGCCGCAGTGCACATGCGTCTGCCACAAGCACCTGGTGGGAGCTGCTGGAGCTTTGGTTTAGTGGTTGCAAGAAGAGAAAACACTGCGTGCAGCATGGTTTTGGCTTCTGGGTTTTCTCTCTTTTGTTTTTTGATGCAGAGAAGCGTAAAGTAAGCATCTGGGCTTTCCTTCCCTGCCAATTTCTTGTCTTAAGTCCACACTCTTTGCTCTTATCCAACAGCATCAATGTTCTCAATTTCATTTCACTTTCTCTTTCCCCCTGTTGAAGTCCCAACCCTACTTCTTCTGCTCCCTTTTCTCTACATTCCCATTCTTTTTGCCTCCTTAGTTCCCTACAGTCCCTTTGAAAACTTCTACACAGAAGCTCTCTGCACAGGGGAATCTTTTCCATGCAAATATCCTGGGCTGATCCCTGAGGCTGCTTCGCTGTGAAAATACACCTTAGACCCTAAGCCAGTGCATGTGTGTAGATACAACTGAGACAATTCTTATCCTTAGAACGAGTGAGGCACCTGATATTTTTTATTCCATTCTACGTAATTTATTTTTTCTTCATTTCTTCCTTCCTTTCTTCTTTTCTTCCTTCCTCCTCGCTCCCTTCTCCACCAAACCAATCTCGGGACTCATTCCTGTCCATAATGGATTGAGACGTAGGAGCTCTGTCCTCTGGCCCTGGGAAAGAGGCCCTTTTCTTCATTTTCTGAAATACATACTGCCCGCATATAATAAGAAACCCATTTCTCTCCAAACAGTTGATATTTAAATTTTCCTGGAGTGAACTGAGAAGCAAGGACAGAAGAACAGCAGTATATGGTAGCGCCATCTTGGGATTCGGGAAAAGTGGATGATCGCCCTGATGCTTGGAGGCCCCCCCAGTTCCTCTCCTCATGAGGCCCCAGTGTTTTCTACCTACCTCCTTCTTCTCCCCCCCAAAAAGTTCTGAGGAAGGATCCTGTGGTAGGCAGAACAGTGTACCCCTCAAAGATGTCCTTGTTGTAGTCCCTAGAACCTGTGAACATGTTCGTTTATGTTACGTGGCAAGAGGAAATTAATGTCGCAAATGGAATTCAGGTTGCTAATCAGCTGATCTTGTAATGGACATATAGCCTGGACTCTCTGGTCAGAACCAATGTGATCACAAGGGTCCTTATATGAGAAAGAGGGAGGCAGGAGAGTCAGACTTAGAGTTACATGATATATGAAAGACTCTGTGACTTCTGGTTCAGATTCCGCTGGAAGGAGCTTGGAAGGTGCCGCTCTCTTCTAACAACAAGTAAAAAGATGAACAGGCTGAAAAATCAACAACTCTTCTTAGACCCTTAAGGCAGTGAGGACACAGTGCAAGCCATACACTGCCTGCAAGATTAGAGAGACAAACCCAGGGCAACGCGGCTTCCCCAGCAGAGGCTCAAGAGAGAAAACAGCCATGGGAATCGGTACTGCGGTTACAATGGATTATAATTGATGAGTTGCTGGAGACTCAGTATGAATGAGGCCAAGTTAAAAACTCCAGGGGAAGCCAGTCATAGGATTGTGAGAGTCCATTCAGTATTGTGAGATTTACCTCCAGGAGCTCTCAAACCAGATTCCTATGCTAGAGTAGGGGGAAATCCTCTCATATTTCCAGCAGAGGGTGAGGGAACAAACTGTCGTGAAACACCGCAGAGCACTCCATTCTCAGCAAGGACTGTCCTCAGGAGAAACTAGTTAACCACAGCCTAACCTGCTGGGTATGCTCAGAGAGTAACCAATATGAGGAAAGGAAATACCAAACTTCTGCCTATTCTAGCTATCTTGTTCACCCAAGAGGGGAAGAAAAATACTTATTATGTTGGGGTTCTCATAAGGAAAATAGGCCAAGAAACACATATGAGGTCATAGTCCCAGAAGCACAGGCTCACAGGAGACTAAGACCTAATCTCAGGACTATGGAATGCTTCCCCTTCCCACCCCCACCCTCACCACCACATTACTAAAGGGCTATGCACAGCAGTTCCTTGTACCCTATACATAATGTCTGGCTAATGAGAAGGCACATAAAAAAGGAAAAAAAAAAAACCCACACACACTATTTTTGGAGACTGAGCAAGCATCTGAACCAGACATGGTAGGGATACAGGAATTATCAGACTGGGTATTTAAAACTACTTTGATTAGTATGCTAAGGACTCTAACGCATAAAATAGGGAACAAGCAAGAAAGACTCCACCAGCCATTGGCTTATAAGATGGAATGAGGCCACGAGCCAACAAATGATGGCAGTATCTAGAAGGTAGAAAAAGCAAGAAAATGGATTCTCCCCCTTGGTGCTCCAGGGGAAAAAAAAAAATTCCAACACCTTAATTTTAGCCCAGTGAGACCCATTTCAGACTTCTGGTCTCCAGAACTGTAAGATAATAGATGTGTGTTGTTTTAAGCCACTGAGTCTGCAGTAATATGTTACGGCAGCAAGAGGAAACTAATACCAACATGTGCTTGGTCAATTAAAACACATGATGAATTAGAGCATTTCTGAGTACTGGGTTTAGGTACCTGCTCTCTTCTTCCAAGGCTGGACCTGGCTCTTGGCATTGTCCTCAGTTTGGGAGAGGAGGAACTGGCAATTGTCTGCCCTGCAACAGTTAGGCAGCCTGCCAGCCTGCCAAGCCGCTGGGACCGGGGAAGCTGGCTGAACGCTCCAGGACAGGGTCGGGTAAGTGAGATGCGGGGGAAAGGTGGAGTTCTCCGGAGGGCTGGGTTTTTTCTCATACAGATAAGAAACACTTACAAAACTCTGTCACCCTGAAAATTGTAATTTTACCTAATATTTTTTAAGAACAAATATTCAGCTAACTATAAACTGGGGGACCCCCTCCCACTTCAGTTCTGGAGCACAGATTTCCTAGAGCAGATGGCGGTGAGAAGGGCTTCTCATGACACCATGATGACTGCTGTTGTCAGCTCCCACGGGGATGGGCCTGGACCTTCTAATTCTCCTTCACCCTTCACA